GAGGGAAGAGGGGAGATAGAGTGGGTTGAATCCAACCAACTCTTCTGTGGGTTAAAAAGGAAAGCACAGGGAACTACATGTATGGAAGCCATGTGGAATTGGGCTGTATAGGGAAGGGAATTGGGTGAAATTGAGTGAAGGAGCTGCTTGGATCCAACCCATTGTGTAGTATTAGTGCATAGGGTATGGCCTACCACGGTTGCTTTGTTCAGTGCAGATATCAGATGACCTTTCCCAGGACCTCAAAACCAGTAGGCCCCTTGCTTCAATACACAACACTGAATTAAAAACATGAGGGACAAGTCCTAGGAAGAACACTCTAAAACCAATATTATATATATATAATTTTACATTGTTCCCATGAAAGAAAAGTCATCTAGGGATGTAGAGTGAAGTGTTATCAGTACACTGATGACACTAGACTCTTTGACATTTGGTTTAGGTGTGTCAATGAACGTCCTGAAAAAGAGTCTTGGAGACAGTAATGAGCTGGTGAGAACCAATAATCTGAACTTCAGCACAGAAAAGACAAGTGCTGTTGGCTAATAATGTAACTAATCAAGGGTTAAGGAGTCAGCTTGTTGCATTCCCTGTAAAAGAGCAGGATCACAGCTTGATGTTGCTATTAGATTTGTGTTTACAGATGGAGGCTCAGGTACCTTTGTGATGCGTAACACCAGCTACGGTCTTTCCTTGAGAAGCAAGAACCCTGAATAACCTTGGCTATGTTTATTGATGCTCTGATCACACCTCGTTTGGGTATATATGGGTCTACCTTTGACGAATGTCCAGAAAGTTCAAGTGATAACAGAATACATCTTAAGGGGGCACAGTGCTCATTGCTATGGGCTACAACGTTTGCATTTTATCAGTTCAGAAATCGCTTCACCGGTTGCCTTTTAGTTTCTAGAAAGTGCTGGGTTTTGCCCTTAAAGCCCTAGATGTTGTGAGTGTTTGAACTGCCACTGTCTCCATAGGAACCTTCCTGCCAAAAGACTAACTTTTGAGATCCTGTTCTGTGAATCACCACCTCCTTTAAGTCGGTCAGCCGTTGACCGTACAGGAGGCCTCTTCACTGGATCTAGAGACTGTAGATGAGACCTTTTCTCTGGTTCTGCCTCAGTGCCCTCCCCTAAGCAGCTTCCAGATCTCTATCTCTCCTTATATATAATTGAGTAAGAACATTCTATATGAACATTCTAAATTTGGCCCCTTTAGTGTATGGACGCTTGAACTGTCAGTCAGAAGACGCTGGCTGGGTTGACTGGCTGCTTTGTGCAGTCCCGCCCAGCGTTTCAAGGTCTTTTGCATATGGAAGCTGATTGGACTTCACTGCATTCCACACCTCAAACTCACCCCCCTCCCCGCAAGGCAGTTGGAATGTCAGTTGCATATGGAACCTTCAAGGTCTTTTGCATATGGAAGCTGATTGGACTTCCCCCCATTCCCCCCCCCATCCCCCCCCCCCCCCGCAAGGCAGTTGGAATGTCTGGTGGTGTGTAGGTCCCAGGATCATGTTTTAAAAGCTGCCTGGGGGATTATGGACCATTCACACACTTTCAACCTTAACATACCTCATAGGGGGAGAGGAGAATGATGACAGCTGCTTTCCCTAGGCAGAGGCGGGGGGGGGGAGTAAACTTGAAGACAGACGGGCAGATAAAGGTTAGGCTGATGGTTGCCTGGAAAGAATAGGGTTGCCAACTCCAGGTTGGAAAATTCCAGGATAGTTTAGGAATGAAGCATGCTGAGGGTGGGGTCTGAGGAGGAGGAGGAGGAAGAGAAAGAGGAGGACCTCAGACAGATACAATGCCATACTCCCCACCCTCCAAAGAAGCTGTTGCCAGTCTCCAGGTGACAGCTGGAGAGCTTTTAAAGCTCTGGTGCTAATTCAAAGTGCTGCAATTTGTCGACTGAGTAGTGTTTTGG